GACCCAGATTCAGCCAAACTGGCTGGGGCGGCAGTCGAAGCGTGTCAGCATAGAGCCCCCTTGGACGTCAGCGCTTCGGACTCTGCCGTCGTGTCGGATCTGGAGGACTTTGATGTCACCACAGAGCCCTTCTCAGAAAGGGACACCTCGGCTGTCACCCCAACAGACTCGGACGGAGGGGCCTCCCCCAGCCCCGTGGCCGCGGTGGGGCCGGGCTCCCTCCGGCAGTGCTCTCCGGCACCGGTGGAGGAGGATGCACCTGACCCACTGGTGGACCTGGAGCTCGTGGATGGTTGTGCAGTGGCGGTGCTGGTGACTGGTGGGATGCCATCTCCTGAGATGGGTGCACATCCAGCCTCTGGCTTGGAGGCAGCTGGTTACCCCAGCGCTCCAGAGGGGTGGGGTGAAGATAACCAAGACTTGCTGGTCTCTGACAGTGAAGTATCGCAGCTCCCTGAGGAGACCTGTCCCGGCCGAGTGTCCCCCTCCCAGCTCCCAGCTCCCGACATGGTGGCAGAGGAGCCACAGTCCCCCTCGCAACGCAGCGAGGACAGTGTCGAGGGAATGGATCCATCTGGGACCCATCACCTGCCTGGAAGGACAGACCTCACCAACTGGGATGTCCCAGAACTGGTTTCTGAGAGCGAAGCCACAGATTTGGGATCAGAGAGTGATGGAGCTGAGGGCCAGACTCACCTGGCAGAAAGTGGGGATGCTCGCCGCGGTTCTCCGCTGCCTTTCCACACTGGCTCTGCATCAGAGCTGGACTCTGAGGCTCCCACGACATCCCCGGCACCTGTTGAGGACCTCCCATGGGAAACAGTTCCCCTGGGCCAGGGCCTGGCTCTGGAAGGGGCTGCCCACCCCGAGGGGTCCCCCGTGGAGGTGGCTGTCGTGCACAGGGAGGCACCGTCGGCCATCCTGCAGCCGGGAGACCTGGACTTGCTGTTTGCCTGCGGCTGGGAGGACCGGCCGACAGCGCAGTGCCGTACCGTGGTGCTGGGTGAGGGGGTCCCACGCGCTGCCAGCCCAGCCGCTCCGGAAGAGCTTCCTGGCACGTCGCCCGTTGTGAGGCAGTCTCCTC